ACTTTTAATCCAGGTTACAATAATCCACACTTTTAATCCAGGTTACACTCTTCCCTCAAGGACACATTTTACAAAGTAGCTACATATTGTGCAGGTATAAAGACACATTTGTATATATTTTTGTGTACATTTATTTTTTTTAAGCTATTTGACTAACTTTTATTTTTTATTATTCAATATTTTACTAACAGAATAGTAAAATAGCAACCTGTTTTTTGTGTGAATTGCTATGTCAGTCAAATGTTCAATTTTGGAATAAAGGGGTGGAAATTAAAACGTGTTTTTTTTTTGCCGATTCATCGATTAATCGAAAAAATAATCGGCCGATGAATCGATTATTGAAATAATCGTTAGTTGCAGCCCTAATTTCCAACATGAACACATAGATGTTCTGTGTGGAGAAGTGTTCAATTATTCAATTCAGTTTATTTATATAGTACCATATCACAACAAACTTGTCTCAGGGCACTTTACAGGAACATTCACATACATAGAAAAGCCAATTAGTAAAAGTTCTCTATCTAAGGAAGCAGCAGACTCGAATCTTCACTTCGTCTCAGTCTCCCATCCTGAGCAAGCACAGTGGCAACAGTGGAAAGGAAAAACTCCCTTTTAAAAGGAAGAAACCTTCAGCAGATCCAGGCTCAGGACAAGCGGCCATCTGCTTTGACCGGATGGCTTTGAGAGGAACAGGGAGGAGAGACAAACGAACTCAGAATGGTAGGTCCAGATTAAAGGATGACATTTTTTTGGGAGTACCACAGGTCACGTGATTCTGGCGGGACTGGAGTCGACCTTATTATAACTCATGTGACCGGAACGTGACCGGACTGAAGGTTAACAGGAGCAGACAGGAGCGGGAACTGACCAATAAGCAAAAAAGAAAATGGGGGAAAAAATAATAACGGACAGGCGCAGCTATTTTGTAATTTTCTTTCAATAAGCCTTCACTTTAACGCAAATCAAAAGAACTACGTTGCCCAGAAGTCAACTGTTCCAGCCTCTGCTTTTCACCAAGAGGGAGAGAGGAGCAGCAAAACACCAGCAGAGAAACTGAGTGGCTGAAAATAGTTTTAAGGTAAGAAGAAACTATTTATCTACTAAGCTCACAGAATGGGCAGGAAAGTGTCAAATAACCCCGAACTTCACGAGCATTATGTTGGTGCGGTGCTGCTTGTAAAATGTTTAGTCTCAGCTGCAGTGTTGAGCTGCGATGGGAGTCGGAAGTTTCGTTTTACCGCCAGTAAATAAACAGACATAATAGAGCATTTTTCTCCACCTTGTCCCTTTTTATTTAAAAATTATGCTCTGCTTTGCCATGTGGGTTTTAAGGTTAAAATCTTCATTATCTGTCGCTGTTTGTAATGTTAAAAAAAACAACAAACAAAAAAAAACTCTTCCTGGTTAAAGTGCACACATTATTTGGTAAAAATATCCCTATTTTATATTGTGACGTCCTGCTGGATACTGAAATCGAGGAAAACGTGAATAACCATCACTTTATTGTGTAAGTAATTACTTTCGGCCGCAAACCAGTATAGCAAACTCATTAGAGTGAAGACATTCTCTGGTAAAAATATCCCAATTTTTATATGAAAGACTGGTTGCATATGTATTATAATAATAGTTTTATGTTATAATAAACGTTTATTATGTTGAGTTAAATTTTAGGCCAAGAGTTGATTTTTCTCAGTTAATTTCTTCACACCAGGGGCAATTCTAGAAGCCCTTTTTAGGGGCCTTAACCCCCCAGTGTTGACAATGGCTCTTGGCTTGAACCACACAGTGTGTATTTGTATTAGAATTATTGTAGGGGGACATATTGATGCGAGGTCTGTGGGTCCTCCCCCATAACTTTTTGAATAAAGTAGCTGCTTTTTCCTGCATTCTGGTGTATTTTAACAGATTTTAAAACATCTATGTTTACCTACATAAGTAAATCCTTGATTCAATAACTGTGTTATAAAGCATGGCACAAGAAGTAGCACTAAGCTTTTTGTTTGTCTTTAATTTAATTTAATTTTTCTACCTAACACAGTAGGCTGTTAGCTCTGGAAGCAAGCTGTTAAACAGCTTTGGACACAAAGACCCTTGTCACACACTTCAAAAGAGCAGGTAAGATACATAAAATCTTGTAATCTCTGCCTGGTGAGGCTGTTTAAATAATTATAAAATATGATAAGTGAAATAAATAAAGAAAAAATGAGCTACTGTAATTTGTATTTGCAAAGGTCACATTTTCTTGACTAATTTCAATGGTAAATCTCTTCTTTTTGATAAAATATTTTTTTCCAGAAGAAAGGCCAACAAATTGCAATTTGTAGTCACGGTAACCCTATTTTGACTTGTGCACTGTCGTCTTTCACTTTTAGGTTACAAAAGGTGCTGGACTGGTCACTGAAGCTGTGGAGAGACAAAGTGGAACACCAGACCTGCAATGATCCAGTCTGTAAATGATGCTCTGAAGTCTGGTAAGCTGTACAACATCCTGCTTCGCCAAAACGAGCTCGTTACCTCAACCTCATAGATTGAACTTCTTGAGGACGTCGTCCAATGTATAATAATGCCTTTAAACATTTTTATTCGTTGAGTTCTCTGCTTAGTACATTAATTTTCTTTTTTGTTTGTTTAAAAATTTAAAACATGACTAATGTCACTGTTTAAAGGAAACATTTGCTCAATAAATTAGTGCAATGCAACTTTTATTTGTTGTTTGGATTCTTTCATCTAAGGTAGACATGGTGTGACCCATATACTGTTGTAGTGAACTAAGCCTAAGGTCAAAACCCTTGACCTTAAGAACCTTGTGGGACAGAAACTGTCATTTCATTGATTTGAATCCAGAAATACAGGTTCACCCATCCTGAGACTTTCTTTCTTGAAAATTCAAGTGAAAGAACACTCTCTTTTCTATTATCATTACTGTTTTACAAATGTTTGATAATCAAAGTGTTTTAGTTCAAACCATTTTAGATGTTGCAGTGAACTAATCATTTTTAATTAACTGTGAAAACAGTAACAATGATTTTTTAATCCTCATGCAAAGTTAGAATTCATGTTAAGGCCTGTTACAGAGTAATTATGCATTTTCTGATTTTCTGTCTTTGAATGAGCAGTGTACATTTGTTCCAAGGTCGGAGTCGAAGCAGACGAGTGTTGGAACAACTGTCTTGTTTTTAAATCCTCTCAGACGTAAACAGAGAAGTTGGCACCTGTTTCTCCAAACTCGCCCAAACATTTCTCTCGCCTGTCTGAAAACATTTTCAATCTGTTCCATAACATTTTTGCTGTTTTCTGACTTCTAGTAACCTTTTACGTCACAAAACACACCCCTGTCTGGTCGACATTGACCAATAAGAAAACTCCCAAATGAACCGGAAATAGAGCCCTTTAAAATGTCGGTACTTCCTAGTTCTCTCAGTTCTGTGAGTTGCCGTTGGAGTCGGGCTGGAGAGTTTACAGCTCCAGTCGTTTGGGAGAACAGAAGTCCAGCCATGATAAGGCTCTTCCGAGATTGGGATTATAACATCTTCCACCTCTGAGTGGAACTCGGACGAACCCCACTCATGTGAGGTCCACTGGCTGAGGTGAACTTGTGTCAGACGGAATATCGTCACT